CCTCGAATGACGGAACAGCTGTATGTTGCAGTTTAATTAACAAATTGACTTAACTGTATAGCGTTATTGAGTTGTGTCAGTCATCATCCCCCATATTGTCCTGCCAAGGACATCAAGCACATGATTGGCATGTAGTAAATTTTCAGTCATATTTTCTCTATTAATGAGCAGGAACCAAAAAGCTTTATTGTTTTGAAGAACTGAAAATTTTCGGTTGTCAATAAGTCAAACATATCTACACATAATGTATGCTCACACTTAGAACAAGGCATTAGGGACAAGTCATTTCATGCAATCTTTGGCTTAATTTCGCGCGACCTGACCCCTCTAGCGGTAAACATTGAAAAACAAAAACACGACTTTGCATAGGTATCTTTGGCAACAGGCATGCCCGATTTGATAGACACTTTTTCGAGATTACTGAAAATAGTTGATGTGTATTTATTTTCGAGCTACCGTTTATGACCATCAGTATACCGAAATTAAATCCCCAGCGAATTTTAACAACTGTACAGTATACGATGCCCTTGAATAGTCTTATGTTTGTACAATGTTATCTTGGCCTTCTTATATGTATTAGGGCACAGCTGCATTACACGAGTCACCTCAGTTACAAACGTTGACCTACAAATCGTGGTCCGACCGCAATTATGAGCGTCGTCAACTCTTAATAGTTTGTAATCTTATCTTGATTGGATATGTGGCCTAGAACAATGGCAGCAGACATCCTTCAGTTGTGTAATTAAGTGTAACACACAGATATATGAAGGCATACTGTAAAGTCAGATATTTTCGTGGAGCTAAATTTTTGTGGTTCTTCACTAGTTCGCTAGTTTGTGGACACTTGATTTCATTGATATGTCTTCTATGAACAGACAACTTGTAGAACAGGAGATATCGAAGAAATCGAAATACTGAAATGATAAAACTTACTTTTATCTAACTAAACTTTCAATTTTTTTAAGTCAGGAGATTTTGTAAGAAAATGAAATTTTCGTATTGTTAGATAATTTTATTTCAGAATTTAATTTAATTTCAAAACTCATTGATAGATATGGACATTTTTTCGCCTTACAGTCACTACTACTTCCATCACTTTCAAACATCATGAAGTAAAAGTCATTGTAACTAGTGCAGAATATGAAGAAATATACATTGACTGTTGAAAAAGTGGCAGTATAAAACATTTCCAAGGAGCGACCTATGTCTGCGGTCATTGTGCTGTTTCTATCAAAAATCTACGTGAGTTTTACTATGGTATCAACGTTATTGTAAAGGAGGATCAAAGCTAATGTTTATATTGACTGTTTACACAAATGTTTGTTCGTCGATTAGATAGATATGATAGTAAAATTAGCTAGATACACAAGCATGTTTAAACATAGTAGTCAATTACATATATTACCAGGGGCATCTGATCCTCTTAAATGCTTACATAAACATAGGGTCGACTGGTGATTATCATGCCGATCAGTATACACAAACGTGAGAATGGGGATGAAGTAGTCATGGGCAGTATTCAAACTTTATCACCTGGTCATATTCTCCTTGTACCGTTTGCAGGAGTCTTCCTGTACAGTTTTATTTTGTCCTAGTTTTATTAATTTGAGTTTGGTTCATGTTTATGTTCACATAATAACATGTCAACATCGGCATAATCCAAAATCAAACAGAATAAAAACTAGGGCAAAATATGAACGAAAGAAAGATTTACACGAAGACTTCTGAAAAAGTACAAAGAGCTGTTTCGGAAAAATAAGCATCTTCTGTCTCGTCGACAACGACCGCCATGTAAACATTGGTCAATGTTACGTTGGCAAACGAGAACAAAGTATACTACAACAGAACCAACGGGCAAACTAACGAGCATCGAACACGTCCACCTTCGTATCACACAAAGAAATGAAATATTTCTCAATGAGATCACTGAGAAGACCTTAAACGTCCCCATAATTTGAATCAACCTTCATCTTTTCGAACTTTTTTTTGCAGATTGATATTTTTTTGCTGCCAAAGAAAAATGGTACCAATTTAAAGAAAAAGGCAAAATGGAAGAAAGCTGTAAAAAATATGAAAACTAGTGCACCTATGGAAATTCGAAAGCGATTAGCTGTATGGTTTGGTGTTATGATTCCATTGCGAAATAGATTAGGAATGGGATGAAAGGGGACATCTGTGAATAATACATATGTTTGAAGGATACGGATACAAAAAGCACAACAGTCTAGAATTTAAAGTGTTTGACAGTTCTAACATCCTATCTCGAAGCTGTTGTTTTAATATATTCACAACTGTAATGTTAGTCTGCAAGTAACTCAAACAGGCGGTTTCATGAAATATTCCAGTGCCTAGAAAACTAGTCATATAACAGTAAACTCGATAAAAATCTAACGTAGCACTTGACGTATCTGACGGAAATGGTCAACTTACAATACATGTGATTTTCACGAATTCACTTAAATATGCAAATAGTGCTACCGTTTCTACTCGCAAATGATCATCATTCTCAGTATGCCAGTCATGCAAATGCATTTAGACTGAATAAAAATAAATTTCCATTTGTATTGTCTACTTTGCATGGTCTTGCAACACATGACACAAAGAAGAGGCCAAATCTAAGTGCTTTATGCTATCTAAAGCAGCTATGATAATCGATTCTCTATCTGAGAAGAAAGGAAGAATAACTGAACTTTTAAAGACGTTTTGGTTGCAATGACTTGGCCAGTAGCTTTTCACAAATACTGTAACGGTTCCATGTCTGAATACCTTCAAAATAAGTTGGAATTTAAAAAGATTTCAAGAAGTTCAATAAACTGTCTAAAGAAGACGTGACATGAATGATTGATAATCCTAATTCGAAATGTGTTGTCAGCTTATCTAAAACACGTATGCACACGTATTACTGAATGTTTTTGTGAGCTACCAACCCGTATGCTTGTTATATGCATATACTGGGTGTTGGATACATACTATCCATGATCATTGTTTAGAATAACTACTAAAAAATATATATATGCTTATTGCAGTGTGCAAGCATGGCCTCAGGAAGCTGGACAATTACCGGTTAATTAAGATATAGCGGGTTGATCAAACTTTTGTTCACTTACAGGTAGTAAAATGATGACCCTGATTATCAATTGTTAATTCTGTTACTTTACTTTTTAACGTCCTTCCCAATTCTATAGGTATAAAAGAACGGCATACCTTTGTGTGGAATATGAGTGCATATTTAGAATGCAGATGTTTTCGGGAGGTTCCGATACATTCATGTACACCTATCAGAAAATTGAGACTTTTCATTAAGAACAGTTTGGTATTTATTTGCCTTACTTCAAACAAACAGCTGGATAACTTCATATCGACTCATTTAACAACCGTTTTATAATGAATAATCAAACTCTGCTAAATTACGAACAGTGGGTTAGTTGGCAGTTGCTTATTTATCTGGAGCGAAGAGGCGTAAATATTTAGTTATATACTTCAATATTTAGACTTCGGTGTTGACTTCCCCTCCTTTCAGTTTACGAAATGATAGACACATACTCCTTTAAATGATATCAAAACGTCACCAGATGCTGTAAACACCAATTAAAACCGTATAATTATTGGTCACTTTGGCAATTAACAGACATCGTGAAATAATATGTTTACACTGCCTTTCTATATACTGTAAAATCATAAATTTTCATGGATGTTTTATTTTCGTTGATTTCGTGAGTATTGTCAATCCACGAATTTGTACGTCCACAAAAAAGTAATCGGTCAATTTGGATTTTGCAAGATTAACCCAAGAAATCAAGAGCTAACAAAAATGCATATTTATTAAAACCGCTAAATTTTAGTCAAACGAAAAGGTGTGGTTTTACAGTATCACAAATCTCTATTACAAAAGAAATCAATGATTAGTATAATATAACTGTTTAGATATATAGATCATAGGTCTGATAACGAGAGGAGAGTTCAGGTCATTACCTGTTTTGCATATAAATACGAGCCAGTAAGATTGGGAACGACAGCCAGACGTTTAATGCACCAAGTACACTAGAAAATATCTAGAGAGATATGACTGTTCATTATCAAGCGTTGTAGATATCACCTATCTGAAAGGAAACAGTACACGCCAGAGTGGCTTCGCTATTCTATCTTCTGCATAAATGTTGTCCTATAATAACAGAGACTAGGTACGTGTATGTCGTATTTACTGGGCCATTCAGGTAAGGGTGATGATCGGATACGAATCAATAAAACGTAAGATATCGATAATGATATTATTGAGGATAAAAACTAAATCAAAACACCAAAAATGAACTACACTTAAGTTAGGAATCTGAATCACTTGTAAGTAAACGTGGAGTAGTCCGAGTCAAACATAATACAAAGTGCAACAAGATAATAACATAAGACATAAGAATACATATGAGGTCATGATATTGTGAAGTCACATTCAAGAGATATCTGTATCGCAAAAATTAACGATGATAGAAACATGTTATTCATGACAAAACAAGATTTGTGAATTTTCAGATCGATGAGGATGTGGTTAAAATGTCCTTTAATGAAAATCGTTTTATATATTTGTCTTGATATTATCCCACAGTTTTGTTTAAGCTTGGCGTTGTCAATAAGATTACGCATAAGGCCTCAGAACGTTTCACAAATAACCATATAAAACATAGTATCTATCATTGAAAGGTAATGTTTCAGGATATGTACTTGTATATTCAAATAACACTATACAACCACACACATCATCATATAACGCATGGTTCGTCCTTAAGGTGGAGATGTCTATTTAACCGACAGAGCGCTGCATACATATACAGCATACATAATATATCTACGGTTATATACAGGTCCGACACCACAGTCGTGATAAAAAAGCCAAATTCAGGTCAAAGCGTATTTATAATATACACTACCATAAGATTCGTACATGTAACGAAGATGTACATTGCGACGATATATATAAAAAAAAAAAGATAAAAAAAAAAAGAACTGACCTTGGCATTGAAAATATCGTACGTTGTCCACTTCTTAATCTTAGGATATTCAAACATTTTAAAAACAGATCAACGAAGACTTCAGACGAATATAGCACATCCCTTTAGTTTCCATTCATGCAGGAGATGGTATGGTTTCAAGGCAATCAGATGCTTTTTCACGAACACATGCTTTCTGTGAGGTGTTCAGGCATACGAACTCTATCAACTTATGTCAACACAAGTCAGTTGATAGTCTGTTACTTATATGTATATATACATATATACTTTACGATAGTACGGGCAGAGAAGTGTCAGGGCTCGTCATAGAGTGACTGCTCGGATAACTGTTTAACATCGCTGCACGTATCACTCAGCGAACAAACTATATTAACTGAATATATTAAATCTCGTGCATGCATCCGGGTGTTTTTACACACTCATTTTTGAAACAGTGAAAGCGTAAGCATATGGAATAACAGTTTCACAGAACTTGATGTCAATATTATATAATATACTAGTTCATATTTGTTTATAAAAATTCATCAGTAAATCACACAGTCATATTTGTGAATAATTAACGAAACAAATCACGCTTATGATTAATTAATCGTAAATCCGATGACGGTAAGTCAGGGTGATTACAACTACTACCACAATGGTTTATCTCGCTTAAAACCAGCCCTCTCAGTTAATGGAAAGGTTTAGTCAACCGAAGTATGATCCAATCCGATCATGGGTTCCAAACCAATGGCATTAATTATATATAATCATAACAATTTTGTTCTTATATATATATGGTATGTTACACAAGATCATTTCTTAATATCCATACACACAGTATGTTTCTTCCTTTAGGGAATATCTCATGACCATGTCCAGCCTGGCGTGTGTTGTTACATTGCCCACTGATTAGCTATGTCACGACGGCAATCTGTAATAACATCGGATGGCAGTTCTTATATCACGCCGTCTTACTTGGTACAGGCATGTGTACACGCGTACACGTGCTCGCTTCTCCTATACTGTGCAACGTTACACAAATGTGTATTCGAGACAATGATAAGTCCCTGTTCGTAAATGACTGGGTCACTGGGTTACTTGCATGACTATTGACACTGGTGTTTTGCGTTAATTATATTGTACTTACAATGTGACGTCTTAAGTAGACAACTACATTTTAACAACCATCTTGTCGAAGGGCTGTCAATTTTAATTGACAAAAAAATCCAATCAATTCATATACCCAATTAAAACGTTAGGTATTGTACATGTCAAGAGTTTTTTCTCGTGTCAGTTTCTAGCTTTTTTGTAAGGATGTAGAGGTGTTGTTCATTGTATGAAACTGCTACCATTTCCAATCGTATATTTATAAAACAACTAGAAAAAATTCAACATGTCAACACCATCATAACTGAAACTAGGGTTAAATATGCGCAAAAGAAAGGTTTGCAAGGAGATCCCTGAAAAAGTTAAAGAAGAATAAGTACAGGCGGTCCGGAAGTGTAAGCGTCTTCTGCTTCATCCACGATGTAAATCTTGGTAAATCCAAGTAAGCAATGTCACGTTCTCAAATGAGAACAAGGTATTCAGCAACGGAATCAACAGGCAATCTAACGAGCTTCGAAAACGTCCAGCTTCGTATTGCACAAAGAATATGATATTTTTCAAAGAGATAACGGTGTCAACCGTAAAACTTCCAAACAATTTTCATCAACATGCAACCTTTCGAAAACCTGTTACGAGTTGTCCGTCAGTTGCCGGCTTCTTGCACGAAAATCTTGATAATGGGAACAGGCCCTTGGATATCAAAGCAACTTCGACATGTTAACACCATAGGTTGGGAATACGGTGAATTTACTATCCAGAAATGGAAGATTTACAATAAGGAAGTTAAAATTATCACGTTTATCATATATGTTGATGGAAAGCTGTCCGTGTAAGTTTAGTTGAAGGAAAATATCGCGGTAAGCGACTGATGAAGTAGAGTCTGGCGTATCTTTGATTATCAGTTCTGGCAGGCATACACGATAGACGTGGTCAATAAATTTCTTGTTATGTCTAAAAACAGGCTCTCGTCAATATATCGGAAAGTGAAATTAAGCGACATTGGAAGGTCTTTATGACAGTTAAGCTCTTCGATAAAAAACGGTCTGGTAAGAATCCAAAAAACAAATCAGCAAGCAGAGGGGCAGAGTTAGTTCCCATGGGGATGTTAATAGTCCGTTGGAAGATTTTACTAAACTCGACCAAGATGTTGTCAACCAGAAACCCCATCATTTTTGTGACTTTGTCCTCCGTATATTTCCTTTTTGATTTGGACGTATTTTCACGAAATACACTGCAATACAGTTCACAACCATATATTTGTGCTCTCGTTCACCTTTCTTGGAAAAGAAAATTCATAACAAGAGTACGAATGTGTTCTTTGAATTTAGAATGAAGTGCAGCCCTTCAAAATGACGGTTGTTCAGAGGACGTTTTCTACTTAAGACGCCATATTTTTGTCAGAATATATGGAACTCAACACACAAGTTTCACGTGACATGTAAACTAAAAGTCATACATGAAACATAAAATTTTCTCTGCACATAGGTCTAAATAAATTCTTAACATTAACGTTCTCAGCTTCGTTAGGACCGTTTGTGTAATGCGTACGGACCTGTAACCGATCCGACTTTACGTAGGGGGTATGATTAAGATTATTTAAAAAAAAAACTCTTCCTCTTATGTTGAAATTGATATCACAAAACGACCTGTTTTCTTTGTCTTGTCGGCTTGTAAAAATGGACAGTGAGAGAGCCACTTCTGTACTAGTGCTCCCGAACTAGCCCTAAGTAAACAACATACGGGTTAATGAATGCGTCATAGAAACGCTTATGACCAGTAATATAACTCGCTTCTGATCACCAATCCGTATGGAAATTAACACGACGGATATTGTCTGGGATATTCCAGATAATATTTCCGACTGACATCACCACCGGAAGCAGAAATCAATGTGTCTTTATCCAATAACAATATGACATTATTTACAAGCGAATGCACTAAGGAAACCCATTAACAAAAGCAAACCAATCTAGTTTTCTTATTGGTAATACTGTCATAACAAGCATATTGTGTATTGCTGAAGGAAAACAGTTTCCTCTACCGGTCCCGACAAGTTACAACAGTGTAATGATTAAAAGATTTTCTGGAAACAATAACAATGACCTTGACCTAAATACCTAAAACTTGTCTGAGATATTTTGATTCTTGATAACTGTGACATTTGATGAAAAATCCCTCATAGCTTTCACAAACTCATGGACGGAGGGACGGGTGGAGGGAGGGATGATGGAATGGAAGGACAGAGAGGAAAACAATAGTGCCCCGTACCCCCTAATAATTACTTTAGATAAATCTTGTTAAGCTCTATACATGATAGACCTTTTCTATTGTTTAAAAATTAAGAAATGTTACAAATTACTGTTAACATCTTATGTTGGAAAAAATATAAAAAAATAATTTTTTTGATCTAAATAAATCCTTTTGTTACAAACAAGTGCAAATAAACGAAAAGAAATGCAATATAATTTGTTGTTTTTTAATTTCCTGGCAACTGCATTACATATTTTGTAAAAGTCACAATTGGTGATAAGTTCGTAGATTTAGATTTTATTTTGCTACGCAAATACTGTTTTCTTGGTTTTGATGTCAAAAAGAAAATGTTTAATTGTAAGCAATTAATCAAAATGATCAGCATGTCTCTTACCCGCAGGCCCTGTAACGTAGAACATGGGTTGACCTCGACCTTAACTTTGTCCCAGTACAGAGACATTAAAGTCAACCTGACACAGGAAATACGGTAGAAACGTTGTATGGCTTGGTACATAACATGATCGCCATCACATGTAGGATAAAAATTCAATGTCGTTAAAGTGTTTTTGACAACCACGATGAATACTCACTGAAGGGAAAGAAACAATTTTTTACGGGATTTGTACCGATAAACATGTAATTTATAAAAAAGAAAAACACCAATAACATGACATACGGAAGGAAATAAAATAACATAATGTTGGTTCTTAACTATTTACGTGATCAATAACACTTTGCCTTTGAACCAATTAGGTAAACAGATAATTAGTGGACAAAACAAATGTATAACATTTTGTTCAGCGAAACATCATTGAGGTTAAGGTATAAGCATGCCGCCTTCCAAAGCATACTTTATCGTAGTTGATTCTCAAAATAAATTAGTGATCAAAATTATCAACATCAATTTGTCGAAATTAATTTCTCAGAGTTATTTATAGATGTATGTAATCGCTTTGAATATATATAATTTATTTTATTTTTTACTTGTGTTATTAATTGCCATCCATAAGCGGTAAATGGGTGACAAGATCGTTGATATTACATCTATCGTCTTTCTTTGCAGCCATAACTAGGAAAAGTTTCCGCCTCCAGGGTTTTTTTTCTCGCGTATTAAGTAGGGACTTGACACGGGGTTTATCATTCTGTAGTATTTCTAATTGCATTTTACGAGAACAGAGATAGTGTATTAAATATTTATTGAGATGGAGGATGAAATCACAAACTAAATCAGTCGAAAAGATGACTGAATCAGATCAACAGCTATATAGCGACGAATAGCAATTGAAATAATATCTTACGTTTTACCAAAGAAAGAAAATCCCGCGATAAATTCATGTTAAATGATATAATAAATAGCTCTGCAACACACGAAAAAACGACCATACATGTATTTTACGCTCTGCATTCTATCCCTGTCTACATTTTGCGACCGATATAACGAGAAAGCAGGAAGTGCGTTGTTTACATCACCTAACCTGGTGTAGAAAACAAGGATATTATTTCGAGCACTTGTTTTATCCGTGATTATTGTTTTGTTTTTGGTTTCCGGAGACCAACTTTAGATATTTTCGTATGATACACAACAGATTCTCGGTACAAGGCCCCTGGTGTACGTGGCATTCACTTTCATTTACGTTCATGCGATAATATGAACCCAAACATCTGCTTATTGATAGCCTTATACATTGATGAACTTTTCGTAATTAATTGCGTTGCATCTGTTTTTAACAGCAATGACAT